TGATTTTTCAGCCAATCACCTTTTGGCGCGGGAGCGGTGGGGACAGAGTGGACGTAGTCTGACTAGTACCGTCTGACTAGTCCTGTTTATATAATTATATTTACATATATATATTTATATATACATATAGATATATAGAGTGGATTATTTTCATGTATGTATGTATTTCTTGCTCGTGTGCTGCTGTTTGTTTGGGACAGTGGTAGAACACAGTTTCATGCAGGTGACATAAATCATGTTTCTTGGCTGATGTGTCTGCTGTTACCTCCAGTTGTTGTCCCTCACCACACATGATAAATCAAGTCACACTGGAGTCTGACCAAACAGACGCTGCTCACCGCCGTCTCCTGGGCCCACGTGAGCGCTCACTCTCTCTCTTATTGCCTCTCTTCGTCCTCTGGGTCCGAGCGTGTTTTTTTACCAGGTTTCTTTTTTTTCCATCTGTCGTTCCTTCTTTATGAACGTCACGTTCCTCTCCTCTAAGCTCGCAGTCGTGTAACAAAGAGGCCAACGCGCTGAAAGCAACACATTTAACAAGCCAAAGCATCTAAATGGAATCTAACTGTGTGGCCTTTAAAGGCAGAACTTTCCATTTACACTGACAGATCAGAAAGGATCAGAAGAATGCCCAGTCCGACCTGATCATTTTAAGTCTGGGCCCCGGGGACACTTCTGGGGCTTTTAGATCTTTCAGTGTCAGGAATCGCAATTGTTTTCTCCTGTTGTTTTTCTTCTCAAAGCCATTCTCCACCAGCACTCAGGTCTGTGCCTTCTGCTCTGTCGTGAGGTTCCAAGAATAGGGTTAAATAATTGTCCATCCATTCATCTTCTGCAGCATTAACCCTTCAGTAGATCACAATCTGGTCGTAACATCGTAAAGGAGGCAACCTAGAAAACAAAAAAGAGATTAAAATCCTGACCATAAGATTTAATTATGTGCTGAATTAATCAAAGCACCTCGACAGGTATTATATATTTAGGTATATTCAGTTCATAGAACACTGGCCGACTGACCGACATGGAGTCTGTGTCCAGTCACACGGTCCGACTGGTCAGTCGTCGCCCAGGCAGGTTTTTTTCTGTTTACTACCATCTAACAAAGGTTCCACAGCAGGAACAGACAGACAGCAGCGGCACAGAGAGATGGCAGCATCAGAGTGAGCCCGGAGCCTCTTCATGAACGTCGACATCTTCTCTCTGCTTGGCTGAGTACATTCCCAGTGAGAGGAGCCTCACGTTGATCACCAAGAAAACACACCTCAATGATAGTATATCTATATGGTAGCTAATGGTCCAGGGAGGTGGTCAGTCTACAGTCTGTAGATCAGAGCTGCAGCCGTGCGTGTCTGGAGCCATCGGAACACTCACACTCACAGACCACACTGCTGGGGTAAGGTGTTACATGTATTCCCTCCATAGACCACCACTGAAGACCACAGAGTATCAGCCCACCAATCAGGAGTCAGTGAATCCATTCTAGTGTCTGGTTGTCAACAAAGGTGTCAGCATCTAAATTAAGTGGATTCAATGTGCAGTTTTCTATGTGGTCTGGCTGTGTGCTGCTGTGACGG